TATATATATATATATATATATATATATATATATATATATATATATATATATATATATATATATATATGTATATATATATATATATATGTACACATACATACATACACACACACACACACACACATTCAATTTCTCCATCCCTATAATTTTAATTTACCAGGCGTCCCCTTTTCCATACCACATAAATACCTGCTTGGGGGTGAAGCTGCTCCCTAGAGTCACAATAGACCAGAAGAAGATTCCTATACACATCAGGTATTTGCGATTATAACGATCACCCAGGTAACCAAAAATAGGCGCCAGTACCATATAGCTGCTAATAAAAACTGTTAGGAAAGGAAAAAAGAGTTTTGTTTCACCTCTGTTCCATATGCACTGTGTACAGTAAATGGCTACAGAGGAGACAGAAAAGACAACCAAGGCCTATTGTGCTAGTCCTCACCTGTCTGTAGTAGTCCTGATTTGCTATCATCAATATTAAAAAACCTCTCAATGTCAGGAAGAACACCTGAAACAAGGCAAAAGTAATAGACCTTTAGATGAGGAGATAAAGATAGTATTTTCATCCATTTCATCCATAATCATCTAACCAAAGCCAGGAACAAATGGGGATAATCTATTTACCTTTGCTTTAAAAGTTATACACCTTCACCCATTTCATCAGTTCAAAAAGAAACTGGAAGAATTTCAGCTACCATTCCATTGTGCTTACCAGCCACAGTGAAGCGATCCATGTAGTTCAGTAGATTAATAAAAAAGAGTACACCCACAATAAGGCCTGCATGTTGAGACGATATCCCTGTCAGGGCCCGTACTTCTTCTTCTCCTATGTGCCCTGGCTGAGGATCATCTTTTTCTTCACCTTCAGTATCATCTGCCTGGGTGAAAATTGGAGCTGTATCAGCATAAGGTTGCTGCTGGGATCCCATGGCCGGGAATAAGAAAAGTCCACTGTAAGGAAAAAAATAAATGTATAATTGCAGGGGAGACAAACCTTAGATTTGCTGGCTATATTTTAAAAAAACAGAGGGTCTACAAAAACTGTATAATTACAGGAGAACAGGATCTATTAGAGAGAGAGGAAAAAAAAAAACACACACAAGGCCTATCAATTTTTGTAAGCCACCCAGAGTCACTGAATGTGAGTGGGCAGCCCTACAAATTTTCATCAAATAATCAATCAGCTGAAGCATGGTGAAAAATAAATGCTATTATTAAAGTCTATGGAGATTCTCAGTCATCCAGGTCATGGTTGCCCCAAAGGTGTTTTTTCAAGAGGCAACTGGACTTTCTGGTTTTTCTTTGAAGATGTTTTGCTTCTCATCCAAGAAGCTTCTTCAGCTCTGTGTAAACATCAGTTAGAACCACACCAGTTAGAACACTTAATCAGTGGAACAACTTACCTCCAGAAGTTGTGAATGCTCCAACACTGGAAGTTTTTAAGAAGAGATTGGACAGCCATTTGTCTGAAATGTTTCCTGCCTGAGCAGGGGGTTGGACTAGAATAGGGCTTTTCAACTGGTGATACGCGCACCCCTGGTGGTACGTTGGCACCTGGCAGGTGGTACATGTACGACGGGTTGAAAAGCACTGTATAAAAAAAGCGTTAAAAAAAGTGTAAAAGTTGATGAGGTGAAGTGGTGGCAGCGCCGCACGGGCTTGTGGGAAAGTCAGCTGGAGCTGCTTGAGGTGTTGCCTGGGTTCTGCTGAGAGTCCAGGATCAGCGCATGCAGCTCCAGCTGATTGGTGCTTCCAACACACCCAGAAGAGAAAAGGAGGAGGGGGGAGAGAGAGAGGAGAGGCTATAAAAGGAGCAGGTTTTGGAGGGAAAGGGAGAGGAAAAAAAAGACAACGGGAGAGGGGGGAAAGAAAAGGGGACGGCAAAAGAGAGATGGCAAAAGAGAGATGGAGAAGCGCAGCCTTGAGGAGAGCAGTCAGCTGGAGGTACACTGAAAAGAGGGGGAGGAGACAATATAAAAGAAGGTGGGAGAGAAGAGAGGATATAAAAGAAGGGGAGAGAAGAGAGGATATAAAAGGGGGTGAGAAGAGAGATATAAAAGGAGGAGGGGAGAGAAAGGATATAAAAGAAAAGGGAGAGAAGATATAAAAGAAGGAGGGGAGAGAAAGGATATAAAAGAAGGGGGAAGAAGATATAAAAAGGGGGAGAGAAGATATAAAAGGAGAGAAAAGGATATAAAAGAAGGGGAGAGACGAGAGGATATAAAAGGGGGAGAGAAGAGAGGATATAAAAAGGAGGGGAGAGAAGAGAGAATATAAAAGAGAAGAGGGGATATAAAAGTGGGGAGAAAATAAATATAAAAGGGGAGAGAAGAGGGGATATAAAAGGGGGAGAGAAGATATAAAAAGGGAAGAGAAGAAAGGATATAAAAGGAGGGGAGAAAAGAGGATATAAAAGAAAGGGAGGAGAGAAGAGAGGATATAAAAGAAGGGGGAGAGAAGAGAGAATATAAAAGAAAGGGGAAGAGACTAGATGATATAAAAGGGGGGAAAGAGAGGATATAAAAGAAGGAGGGTAGAGAGGAGAAGATATAAAAGGAGGGGTGAGAAATTTGTTAAATGAGTTTTGCCCCATTTTATGACTTTTGCCACATTTGTTAAGTGAATCACTGCAGTTGTTAAATTAGCAACACAACTGTTAAGTGAATCTGGTTTCCCCACTGACTCTGCTTGTCAGAAGGTTGCAAAAGGGGATCACATGACCCTGGGACAATGTGACCATCACAAATATGAATCAGTTGCCAAGCATCCGAATGTAAATCACATGATCCTGGGGATGTTGCAACGGTCATAAGTGTGAAAAATGGTCATAAGTCACTTTTTTCAGTGCCGTTGTAACTTCAAACAGTCACTAAGCAAATTGTTGTAAGTCAAGGACTACCTGGACTTTATCACTTTTTTCCCTTTTTTTTTTTGGTCCTCAAGTTTTTGACACCTTGCTAGGCAACTGGTGGTACTGGAATATTGCCATATCCTAAAAGTGGTACAATCTGTGAAAAGGTTGAAAATCCCTGGACCTCCAAGGTCCCTCCCAACTCTATTATTCTGTTCTGTTCTGTTCAGATAAAACATCTTCAAAGAAAAACAAGAAAGTCCAGTTGCCTCTTGAAAAAGCACCTTCGGGGCTACTACTATTAAAGGCACTAATTAAGAAGCAGACAAGAAAGGTACTTGAACTCACAGTTATCCTAAATTTTATTTCAACAGTGGGAAAAGGAGCCAATTCTTTTGCCGGATGCCTTCATTTTGCAACTGAACCTCAGGAATCCTTACCAACCTACCACAAATCCCTGATATCTCCCAGCAGATCTATTTTCTACCCACGCCTGCTTCTAAGAAAGCCGGGGGAGAAACACTCTTAACCGGAGTGCCTGCTCCACAGGGTTGTTGTCAGAAATGACCCAAAGATCTACATTTACCCCCCCTTAAAAAAAAAACCCAGACTGTCGGGCATCTTCCGAAAGAACAAATACCGGGTGGAAAGAGAAAGAGGAGGGCAGGAAGACTCTTTCAAAAGCTACCGACTGTCCAGTCATGATTGTGGAAGGCTTAACCACCTCGGACAAAACCCTCAACGTTGGTTTCATCCTGCAGGTATAATGCAGCCATAGCCCCCACCCTACCCCCAAGATCAGTCAACCGCCGCCTGGGATGACCCATTAGAATGAACTCGGGGAGGGGGGAACTCTTTCACTAGCGCGTGCAAAATTCCCGTTCAAATTCAATTTAATGTTCCTTTTCCACAAACTTACCCTTTCTCCCCTCCGTTTGAACAGCCGGATCAGATCACGTGAGGGCTTTTTTTTAAAGACGTCTTTTAAAATAAACAAAAAAAATCACTTCCTTATCATATGACTTCCCCCCCCGCCTTTTCCGCCTCTGCCTCGCGCGCTGCCGAGGGAGGGAGGGGGTTGCCTCAACGACAAGCCAATAGAATGGGCCCTTTCATCGGACGAAGCAATGACAGCGGCAAGCTTCCGCTGCGCTTGTTATCGGCCCTGGCGCAGGCTCCTCCTACTTCTCTCCTCGCGCGTTGGGTGTTCTGTCTTTGTTCGTTGTTATGGTGACAGAGTACTGCTTTTGCCCATGCGCTGTGACTATGACATTCTGTGCGCCCAAATTTACAAAATATCACATTTAATCTTATAATTACTGGTTTTGCCCAAGCTCTCTCGTTATCACACTTTTCTCAAGGCATAGAGCCATCTCAATCATCTTAAATGGCACGGTTTGGCAAGTCCGAATTTTAAAAGAGGAGGAGGAGGCGAGGTGAGAGAACAAATTGTTTAGTGCAGGTAGTCCTTGACTTACAACAGTTCATTTAGTGACTGTTCAAAGTTACAGCAGCACTGAAAAAAGTGACATGACTGTTTTTCACACTTACAACCTTTGCATCATCCCCATGGTCACATGATCAAAATTCAGACACTTGGCAACCAATTCATCTCTATGACCGGTTGCAGTGTCCCAGGGACAAGTGGTCACTTTTTGTGACCTGACAAGCAAAGTTAATGGGGAAGCCAAATTCACGTAACCACTGTGATACTACTACTGCTACTACTAATAATAATAGAGTTGGAAGGGATCTTGGAGGTCTTCTAGTCCAACCCCCTGCTCAGGCAGGAAATCTTATACCATTTCAGATAAATGGCTGTCCACTCTGTTCTTAAAAACTTCCAGTGTTGCAGCATTCACAACTTCTGGAGGAAGGTTGTTCCACTGATTAATTGTTCTGTCAGGAAATTTCTCCTTAGTTCTTGGTTGCTACCTGAACTTGCAGTGATTCACTTAACAACTGTGGCAAGAAAGGTCATAAAATGGGGCAAAACTCACTTACCAAAGTCTCACTTAGCAACAGAAATGTTGGGCTCAATTGCAGTCGTAAGTCGGGGACTACCTATATAGCTGGAGCCTTACAATTTACAATTATTGTAAAGCTTCTGTTGGACTAATAAAGATACAGACTTAGCATCAATGTTAGTTAATTTGGCAATAGAAACATGCTCCATATAGTGCCCCAAGGCTGCTGGTTAACCATTTCCAGCTGTTGGCTACATAAAACTAAACAATTGTGGTACCAGTCATCTTAATTCATACAAAAATCTGTTCGTGGAAGGTTATGTCACTTAAGTATGTAGCCCTATGCAGATTTATTCACGTTGTGAGCACAGAGTCAAGCTTGCTTTCTTAGGTAAGTATTAATGAGAGTTTTCATAATTATTTTTGTGAATATCCCCCTTCAAACTCATTTTTTTTTATTTCAGATTTGCAGCCTAAAATCACATGCTAAATTATATACAGTACTTTGTTTAACAAAGTTGGTAAGGCCACACTTGGAATACTGCATCCAGTTTTGGTCACCATGATGTAAAAAAGATGTTGAGACTCTAGAAAGAGTACAGAGAAGAGCAACAAAGATGATTAGAGGACTGGAGGCTAAAATATATAAGGAATGGTTGCTGGAATTGGGTATGTCTAGTTTAATGAAGAGAAGGACGAGAGGGGACATGATAGCAGTGTTCCAATATCTCAGGAGCTGCCACAAAGAAGAGGGAATCAAGCTATTCTCCAAAGTGCATGAAGGCAGAACAAGAAGCAACGGATGGAAACTAATTGAGAAACAACCTAGAACTAAGGAACTTCCTTAGAACAATTAACCAGTGGAATAACCTGCCTCCAGAAGCGGTGAATGCTCCAACACTGGAAGTTTTTAAGAAGAGACTGGACAGCCATTTGTCTGAAATGGTATAGTGTTTCCTGCCTGAGCAGGGGGTTATACTAGATGACCTCAGTTGTGTCCTGGGCCTGCTGAAGCATTTCAGCAGGCCCAGAAATGTTGCAAAGCTGCCTGGGACCAGACTGGCTGGCGCTGGACTTGTGCACATGCGCAAGGCGCGAAAAAAGGTTCTTCCCTATTGGCTGGACTGCCTGGGGTTTGGGAGACTATAAAAGGCCTGCGTGCCTGCTTGGTTGAAAGTTGAGTTGAGGAATGAATAAAGAATGTACTTGAGGACAACATGTCTCTTGCTTCAATGCCGCGAACTCCAAAACATAAAAACCTCCAAGGTCCATTCCAACTTTATTATTATTGTTGTTGTTGTTGATCATCGCACAGTCAGCCAGATGTTCAGACTGGATTTGGCATTTCTGTCCACCTATCGAGTCCTTACCAAGGACCTGGGATAGGCAGATGTGGATATTTGATGATATTACAGATATCGTCGCAGGATGGAAGCAGTTCCTAGTAAGGCCGCCTTTTGCAATTGACTAATGGCGAATATGTCAATGCCAATGGTGTTCAAGTGGTGCTCCAGTTGTTTTGGGATTGCACCCAAGGCAGTATTATTATTGGTAATACCCTTGCTTGCCTTTGCCACAGTATTACTACTACTACTACTATTACTACTACTACTACTACTATTACACAACTGCTGGATAACAATAGCAAACCCAAACAAATGACATTGTGGTTTAACATTATGTTCTTATATAATACTATGAAATAATGGCTGGGCTCATACAACTCATAGTTACCCATGCTTAACTATGATATTTCTACTCAAGCCATTTTGCTGCATTTGCATAACACAACTATAAAGTAGCCAACCTGAGTTTGCAGAAAACATTAAACATGATAGTTAATGTGATTTAGCATGTCACATGAATACAACCAATTTGGCTTTATCATGGCCATGATTTTTAATCATGGCTTAGTTTGGCTAGTTTTTTGAACACATCTCAAGCATAATGCAGCTATCATCACTTGCTATTAGCTAGATTGGAGATGGTGGCCACACATTGTCTAAAGCCCCATTCTTGCAGTAAGATATTGCAGATTTCTTGTGAATTGTCTTTCTTATAAGAGTGTTGTAGACAATCACTGTATCAGCAAAACAAATTTCTCCCTTTTTGAAAGACAGCTTATTGAGTTATATTGCTCTAATTGAAAACCTGTAAAATGGGTATGGGTACTGTAGTCCTGGACTTAACAATTGGTCACTCAGCAACTGCATCGGAACAGGTACTTTAAGGCCCATAAAGTACTTTCTGCCAATATAAAAGGTGTCAGCCCTCCCCCATCCCCATGACATAATTAACCTACCAATTAACCTGCTTGAGTCACAGAACTATTTAAAAGCCATATACACTGAGAAGTTCTCTAGATGTATTTACATGATGCCGTTAGATGTACAAGTTAGGCAAAAAACATTCAACTGTTAAAAAGTGGAGTATTTATGGAAATAGACAAGATAAAGCTATAAGCATTCCATAGCATTGTGTCTCTATCATCTATCCGTCCATCCATCCATCCAAACCCTCATTCCTATAACCTTTCACTGGGCAAAATGCTGCAATACAGGGCACCAATTTTTGAACCAAGATACTTCAAATGAGCTATCTTACAGTATGCGTCCAAAATCCAGAGCCTATAACTCCCGTGGAATTGAAACTTGGCAACCTCAGTGGTAGCTCGGAACTCACTGTTAATTGGTTACAGGAGGTGCGATGAGTACCAAAAACGATGAGTACCAATTTTTTCCTATAAGGAATAATGTAGTTACAAGGCAGCCAACACCAATAAGTTCTAGCTAGTGTGTTCAGTACCAAACAATGAGTCCCGGGATAAAATGTTCATGTCAAAATGTATTGAATACCAAATTCGATGAGTTTCACAGCAATTGTGTACCAAGATGCCACTGTATTGTAAAACATTTTGACATAAAAATTATCACAAAACAAGTTTGTGACATAATACAAAATATCATAAAACATTTCCTGTGTTGTTGTTTGGTTGTATTATTCAGTTCAACATGGGCTACTTTCAAGGCAGATACCGCTCTTAATATCTCCCTGAATTTTTAAGTTTTTAAGTATATTAGAAGCTCTGCCATTGTTGAAGGCATTGAGCATAAGGAAATATCTCTGAAATGATGAATCTTAAACCAAGGGCGTCACAGGTGGTCTAGTCCACTCTAACCTTTTCCTACCACTCAACCTAAAACCTAAAAACAAGTCTTCTACCATCATCTGACTTGAGGAGGTATGGTTTGTGGTAGAATTAGGAAATACATTTTATTTATTCTGTTCCCATGTTATCTGTAGATATATTTATTTATTTAATGATTTACAAGACTATATTCTTTAGGGTCAATGTCCTTTTTCATTGGTAAGATTGTAATCTTGTTTTATCCAATTGTAGATCCTATGAGCTCAATAGTGCAAATGGTGGCATAAATGAATTTCTATTACTGTGTGAAGAGCTTTGTATCTAACTAGAATTTGCTTGAAGGCAAGCAAAAATGGTCTCCAGCACCCATTTTGCTGCTGAATTATTTCTTCCAGGACATTATATGATTTTATTTGCCCAAGAGAAAGGAATCCAGGACAGATGAAGACAAAAGGAGATTCCTGCAGAACTCCTTAAGTGTTTTGAGTTCTTAATATATTCACTGTGGCTTAGTGTTCCAAATTATGATTAAAAAGTCAAAAATAAAATTGCTAAGTAAACAAAAAAAATCCCATTATTTATCAGTGTGAATGTCCCACAAGAGAAAAAAAATAGGAAAGGCTTTTTGGCTTGGATTACGTACAATTTTGGAATATATTATTTTTCAACATCAGTGGTATTAGAAGCTGTTCATAAATTAAAACCTTGTCTACATGCAGAGTATGATTTCCCTTTCTTTAAAAATGTCAGCTGCTTTATTGAAGAACACAATACCAATTTCTATGTGCATACATTTTGAGCATAAGCAGATTTTCTTCCAAGTTGGTATTCTCCACATGCCCTATTGGAGGCCAGCACCTAATCAGCGCTATTGACAAATATCGGGATTCAGTTAAAACTGGAAAAAAGCCAACATAATGGTAAAAACACTTCCATAGTGTTGTCAAGAAAAACACAAGTGTATACCGTTGGAGTCACTGGGATTTTAGCTCTACACAATGAGACTTGATATATTCTCGTTGTGCTGGACTCCAAATCACCATGCTTGGAGATTATGAGAAATTCAAAGTAACAGAGAGCACCTAAATAGGATACGCATCTGTTTATCCAAGGCAGCAGAATTAGATCTATCCAGCAATTTGGCAAAGATGAAGTCCACAATTTTCTAATTGACGTGACTCTACTTAGGAAACCTGGTTAATACCATGGAAAGTAAGAAAATATAATACAGTATTGGGATTGTACTGCTTTGTTTTTCATATTATGATTGTCAGACAGCCAGATGTTTAGACCAGATCTGGCATTTTTGTCCACCTATTGAGCCCTTCCCAAGGGATAAGGCAGATGTTGTGTAATATTATTAAAATATTGACAGGAAGTAAGCTGTTCCAAGTAAAGCTGCTGTTTGCAATTGACTGGTGATTTTATTAATGCCGATAGCGTTCAAGCGATGTTTCTGATTTTGGAATTATACCCAAGGTGTCCATTACAATATCTTTGCTTTCTTTTGTTGTTCTATTTATGTTTACAGGTCTTTATCTTTTGGGATGTACTCCATTTCTTTCTCTTCTGTTCTGCAATCTACATGTTATTATGGTTGGTTGCAGTCAGCTAGATATTTAGATTGCATTTGGCATTTTTATCCACCTATCAAATCCTTCCCAAGAACCGGGGATAGGCAGATGTGGTTTGATGGTGTTATTATTATTTATTGAAGTAGAATTATTAAGAACATAGTGTTCTTTTAATATCCATCATTATTCCTCTACAAAGTTTGTCTGCAAGCAACAGGGCCGTTAACAAAATTAAATTTTATTACATATTCCAAGTTTTGCGTACAGGTGATAAAAGAACAAAATGAAAGTTATCCTATGTTTACTCCCTCCACAAATTAAACTGCCACTTCCCATGTGATATCAGGCACAGTGAAAATTAAATCAGGGAAACTAGGATACAGATAAATCATTCAGAGTGGATAGGTAGCAAAACCAAAAACAATCAAATTTAGACAAGGATTCTTTGGAGGTGCAAGGATGCTAGTTCCACACTTCAATAATATCACCAGATTCCATCCCCAATTGTTCAGGGGTCAGGGTTTCTGCCAAACGCTGCCCATCAAAATAGAAGATATGTTTGCTTCTGTCTTGTCTGTATTGATTCATAAGGACTTCTAAGGGCTCCCCCTGCAGAAAGGAGAACATAATTACTATATTGTAATGCTTCCTCACAGAAGAAACCCTATAAACCATACCTTAGTTCTTTTACCTTCTGGATTTTAATCTCCATCACAGAATTTTTGTCTTGTCCTTGTACTCGAAGCAACAGGATTCCAGAATCATCAGCCTGTTGGCTACTGGTCTCCACTATACAATCTGGAAGTTGTCCAACAGAAAATGTTTATCCTACCTTTTCTCCAGAGTTCAAAACAGCAAAATAAGGATGTGGCTAAATAGGGAATTTAGTATCTCCCAAACCTTGCAGTGATTCTAATTTTTTTAAAAAAACAGGTTTAGGCAATATAGTAGGGAGAACACAAGAAAACTGCTATAAAATACTGGACAGTACAAAATTCATTTGGGAGGCAACAGGTTTGAGGAATTTAAAATAGTCAATGAGATTGGAAGCAATGACAATCTGAAGTTAAAAAAAAAAAAGAAGTCCCTAAGGCAGGGGTCCTCAACCCCTGGTCCATGAACCAGTACCGGGCCACGGCATGCCAGCAACTGGTCTGCACAAACAAGCAAGCCCCATCTGCAAGAGACAGGCAGCACACAAAACCACACATCCTCCGGTCTGCGGAAAAACCTCTCTCCATGGAACTGGTGCCCAAAAGTTTGGGGACCCCTGCCCTAAGGTATTCACCAATGATGTCACCAGTGCCAAGGTCCAACGTAGCAGGAGTAGCATCAGTCGCAAGTTGACAATCTTGATGGAGGAGGATGATTTTGTTTGGAGGAACATTCAGTATCTGTGACATGTGCTCAACCACTTGCTGAAGAGGCTGTGTCTACAAAATGTGAAGTAAATAGCTGTGTAAGAAGATAAATGGATTATCTGTGTCCTTAATCATGGCTAAAAGACTGATATTGCAGCATTGGGACAATAAATATATGGCCCCATTCACTCAGTGGATCAAAGACCTGATTACACTTGCCTTTTATTAGAAAGTTGCCTATAGATGTAGATTTAGTACGGATAAGTGTAATGAAATATGTGACTCATTTATACAAAATATGTAGGTTAAAAAAAGCATGATACTCATGTAAGTGCATTAAGAAATAATTGCATACGTATTTACATAATATTTGTATTAAATATATAGAATTGAAACTGTTTACTATTATAACATATTATACTTTATTTCCTTTTTCAATTGTTCTTTTAAAGCATTTGTTATGCACTTTGTTTGATAATATATTTCTATCACGATTACCTTTGTTTAGTTCCCTTTGTCTTGTTCTGTTGTTTTAAAAGCAATAATAAATAAAAGTAGTTGTGTAAGAGAATAGGATATAATAGGATCCTCAGATGGTGTCAGATCCTCCTCAGTGACATAACTTCCCAGTTCAAAAATTTGCACGGCTAAAGGTTACAGGTAGGAGAATTTTAGTAGTATGTAGATCTGACTATATAAGCAAAGCAGACAGAATGTTGTGGCTGAATTTGAGAAGCTTTTAAAATTGCAATTCATGTCAATTTTATAAAAGATTTCAGGAATTGCAAGTTTAATTAAACTCCTGATTTAGTGTGACATGTGAATTCAGAAGTAGTATTCAGCTTTTGAAAAGGGCATGCTTTTTTACCAGTGCTGTTTTGAATCCTCCTAAGCCCACATTCTCTTTTAAAAAATATATAACTTTTGTTACATTGTGACAGGATGTAAATATATTAGGTAAATTAATAGTGTGGTTGTTGGAATTCACATAAAATAATGAATTTATGCAGGATTATACATGAAACTCCCCCTATTTTGGGGGAATATCTACTAGCGAAAAATAAGATTCAAAAGCCCAAGAGGGCTGGCTGCCTCTGCATTGAAGCTTAGAAAAAGAAGTCTCTATTGCAGATGTTAGGACTGAGTCCTAGAAATGCGCAGGGGAAAGAAAAAGAGAAAAAAAAGCCTACATTATGACAGCAATGGGAAGTGAACAGGGATAAGATAATCAAATACCAAAGCATCACACCTTTTGAATGCAGACTCCGTAAAGATCAAATCGGTATCGGACTTTCAGCATCAGCTCCTGGGGCTTAAACACACCAACCAGAATCACGTCATCATCAGATCCTGACCCTTGCTCTTGAAAGCTCTGGGCAGGTGAGAGGGAGGTAGACACATTTCTCAAATTCTGATTGAAGATTCTGCTGAGAAAACAAGGATAAACCTGAGTGAGAAATCCATATGCTGGGTTTTGCCTTGGGATGCCATTACCTAGAGGTATGCTATACAGGTGGTCTTCGACTTACAACCACAATTGAGCCCAATATTTCTGTTGTTAAGTGAAACATTTGTTAAGTGAGTTTTGCCCCATTTTACGACCTTTCTTGTCTCAGATGTTAAGTGAATCACTGCAGCTAAGTTAGTCTCCCAGTTGTTAAGTGAATCTGGCTTCCCCATTGACTTTGCTTGTCAGAAGGTCGCAAAAGGTGATCACATGACCTTGGGACACAGCAATGGTCATTAAGTATGAGCCAGTTGCCAAGCATTAGAGTTTTGATCACATTGATCATAGGGATATTGCAAAGGTCTTAACTGTGAAAAATGGTCATAAGTCTCTTTTTTTCAATGCCGTTGTAACTTTGAACAATCACTAAATGAACTGCTGTAACTGTTGTACTTGAGGACTATCCGTATTCAGTTTGAAACAGGCAAAGGTACTTGGGATCGGTTATGGAACCCCTTTTCTGTATCTGTCAGCACCTTCTTAAAGAAGCAGACTTCATGTTGACATGATCATACAGGTTCAAGAAAATATGCACTGGAGTCAGTAACTTTATCACTCTGTTGCCACCATCATAATGCCCCCTGAAGTTAAGAATTATCTGCACAGATACTATGTAAGCCCCCCCAAAGGCTGGACTTCTTCATAAAATTTCTAGCATGGAAAAGACAAGGTGCCTATCTCCCCCAATTTAGTATCTCTCTAAACTTTTGGAATATAATTCCGATACCTTCCCCCGCCCCCAATCCAACATATACAGAATTGGAAATGGGAAGGATAACAGGGACAGACCTATTTCACATATTTGTCATGGCTTCTGTACAGAGCCTTTAGTGAATTAATTTGCTGCCTTGGTACCTTGTTAATTAAACATGAACCAGATTAGCTTTTTTAATAAGGTTGCTCTAAGAATAATGTCTGAAGGTAGAGACAAAATGGTACTCTGTTTCTCCCAAAATAAGACCGGGTCTTTTATTTATTTTTTGGCCCAAAAGACTCATTAGGTCTTATTTTCAGAGCATGTCTTATGGCAGGTGACGAGCACGTGGGGGCGGGGCATGGCCTGCGCACGTGGAGGCAGCCCGAGGCCAAAGCGCCAGCAGAGTGCCGGAGGGTCAGCAAAGGTGCTGAAGCAAGCCGGCGTCCTGCCTGCAGTGCCCATGCAGATTGCCCCTTCCCTGCCAGAGCCGGAATGCTGCTGCGTTTATCATAAGTGCCCATACTGGTAGATGCCAGCCTTCCCTCTGGCAGGCCTGGGCAACTGCTAGAGAGCAACGAGCCCATTTCAGCTTCCCTTTCACTCCCCTTCCGAGCCAGAGTGCTGGCACTTTCGGCCACCTGGCCCTGTTCACAGCTCTACTACCCACACAGCCACTGAAGCAGCAGGTGGAGCGTCTGAGCTGGAAAGCTAGGACTTATTTTCGCAGTAGGTCTTATTTTCAGGAAAACATGGTATGCAGGCAGTCCTTGACTTACAATCACTTAATGCAGTGGTTCTCAACCTGTGGGTCGGGACCCCATTTGGGGTCGATCGACCATTTCATGGGGGTCGCCAAGCAAGGCTGTCCGCCATTTTTTTTGTCCGCCATTTTTTCCCCCTTTTCCGGCGGGTACCTTACCTCCCTTGGGCTGGGCCAGCTGGTGGTCGGCCTGCTCCGTCTCTGCCGCTTGCCAGCTACACCTCGGTCGGCACAGGGGGCGGAACCACGCAAGCAATGCTCCCGGGCAGGGAAAGTCCTCGACTTACGACCGGTTGGGTAGTCCTCGACTTACGACCGGTTTAGTCCTCGACTTATGCCCAGTTTACTCCTCGACTTACGACTGGTTTAGTCCTCGACTTACGACCGGTTGGGGTCACGGCATTAAAAAGGTTGAGAACCACTGACTTAATGGAACCACAATTTCCATTATTAAGTGAGTCACGTCCAGTTAATCAAATCACTGCGCTTATTAAGTGAATCAGGCGGTCGTTTAGCAAATCTGGCTTCCCCCCTTGATTTTGCTTGTTGGAAGTCAGCCGGGAAGGTCGCAAACAACAATCACGTCACCCCGGGACCCTGCAACCATCATAAAATACATCCTGGCTGCCAAGCATTCAAAATTTTGATCACATGACTGTGGGGAAGTTGTGACTGTTGTAAGTGTGAGCATGGGTTATTAAGTCAGTTTTTTTCAGTGCCGTTGTAACTTTAAATAGTCACTAAACGAATGGTTTTGAGTCTAGAACTATCTGTATTATTCTGTAACTCCTAACCTAAGCTCACCACCAAGAAACCAGTCCTCCTTCCCAGCTCAAAGTATTGCCCAAATTGGCATACAACACAAAAGCAAGCCAAATACAGAAATAATAACTTGGCATAGTCCAGCCTTATCAGTTATATCAGTCAATTCACTGAAATCCTGCATGAAGCTGTATTATAAAGATAGGACATAACCACCTGTCCAACCCTGTATAACTATATTATTTTCAGCACAATATTACTGTGTTCATGTTGACTTTTAAGCGGTGTCAAAGGAGATTATGATATCAACAGAAGTAGATCAGCAAAATCTTTACTGGGCTTGATAGGCTGCATTCAGATAACTTAACAAAGTTAGTCAAAATGTGCTGACTGCCATCTGCTGGCTCTCTTCCTATGCACATTAAATAATTGCTGAGCTATCTGAAGCACTATGGCATGTTATCTCAAACTGGTATGACGGCTCCTGTGAGCTGGAACAACCTAGGGAAAGAAACCTCCAATTTAAATCAATTGTACCCCAGAGATCCCAATCCTCCCTAAATATTTTGTTCCTCCATATTATCAATCCACTGTAGTCCCAGCTCATTTCCAAAAATAACAATTTCTTACGGGTCTTTCACATGATGCTTCTTTTGTTGCAGTGGAAGAGGTGAAGGGGAAGGGGAAGGTGAAGTTGAAGAAGATGGTGTAAATGAAAGATCTTGACATCTGCCAAAAGGAGAACAAACAAAGTAATGGTTTAAATCCAGCTTTTCTGGAAAGTCAGGCAGCAGAGAAGAGAACTGAAACTTTGGTTTTTGCTTCACTTGCTTTACAAGAGTTTGCTCTTTCTCCTCTTCTGATGAGCTAAGAACCACAGTCTCACTACAAGGCGCTTCAACTCGATTAGGAAGCTTCATAGGATTTTTCAACAATCGTAGGCTGTTCTGAACCTGCAGATAAGAAACAAAAGAAGTAGGGGGGGGAGGAGAATTTATCAGGTTACTAGAAAGAGAAATAGGAATTAGTCACTCAACATGTAGGAGTCAGTGATACAGTAGTAGTATATCTAGATGAATGATCAATCACAGTAAAAGTGGAATGGTACTTTGCTTCTCTTCAACAAAGGGTACTGATGACAATAAGGAGCAAACTTGACAATAATTGAAGGTAACCAAGATAGGTTTGAGGGCAACGTTAATTACAGTGGCAACAGTGCCAACAGTGGCAACAGCTTTGCAAACTTTCCTGCCAGCTTCCCCGTTGACTTTGTGGAAAAGCCAGTAGAGCTCTTCAAAAATATTTTGGACAATCAGCAGCTTTTTTTAGAAAAAAGGAAAAAAGAATGCACCATAAACACTAAATCACATTTTCTGTTATCTGGATATCATGTTTCTAATAATATAACCTATTACTGCAATATCTGTAGTTATTACATCTCCCTTCTGGCTCATATCCAGCTTGTGAGTCACTAAGATCCTTTTTACCCAGGTTAAATTTGGTCTATAAATAATTCTTGACTTATGATCAAACAACAGTCAAAGTTACAATGCCTTGGAAAGAGTGCTTTATGGTCTCTAAAGCATTTCTGGCTGTTGTAAAATGTTGCACACATGCAAAACCCACAATCATGTAATCACGATCTGAGTGGTTGGCAACCTATGTGCACTTACAATCGGTTGCCAAGCTCCCCGTGATATGTGATTGCCATTTGAAATCTTCTCTACTGGCTTTTCCACAAAGTCAACGGGGAAGTTGGCAGGAAAGTTTGCAAAGCTGTTGCCACTGTTGCCACTGAGCTGAGATTCCCTCTAGACAGGCAATTCTTTCAGAGTGACAGGGGCTACCTGCCAGGAGGAAATCTTAGCCAGGAGGGAATCCCAGCTTCCTGTGGAACTGAGATTCCCCCCCCCCTCTCAAAAGGCATTCCTCTGAGATGAAAGAGCTGCCTGTTTTGCAAAGAATAAATACAAATTGGGCAAGGGACAATGACAAAACTCTTTTCCCCAGTAGTATAAGGGACTGTGCAAAAAACATTTGGAGGAAGATTGACAAACACCCAATACTGGGGGCTATACAACAGTCATTAAATTAAGCTCTCTCTTGTACCTGGCAAGGAACACCAATGTTTTTGCAAGCTGAAGAAACTGTGGGAAGTCAGAGCCCCAGAGAAGGAAATATTAAAAAGGGCAGAAATATATATTTCCTCAAAAGTATTTTTTAAAATACTTTTGAGGAAATATATATTTCTGCCCTTTTAATATTTCCTTCTCTGGGGCTCTGACTTCCCACAATATTCCCGCTTTGTGCCTTAAGTGAGAGAATGTCACACCTATTGGCACAACATTAAAATTGTTCTGGTCAGGGAGACTTGGTAGGCAAGCGTTTAAACTGTTAAGCCAAAAAAAAAAAAAAAGACACTAATAGAGGCAGCAGAAAAAGATCCCTTCTCCCAAAAGGAGAGCTTGCAACCCATAAAGTTCTAAAAGTCAGGGCAAAAATTTTGTTAGGTGGAAAAGAAATTTATAGTGCCCAATATTCTGTGCCAATCATTTTCAAATGTTGGATGTCACTCTTAGCTTCCAGTCAGGTTTGCACATTCCTCTCAAAATTCTTCACAGCCATGGTTTTCCTTAGTACATGACCACTGGCTGCCCATTTTCAAGGGTTGTTTTCCTGCCACCAGATAGAAGTCCAAAGTGTTCATTACTTGCTGTGCCAACTATTCCCAAATGCCATCTCTCCATTAATACATTCAACTGGCTTGTTACAATACAAATGGGGCAAGAAAGAAAAGTTTTACAATGACTTTCCACCCTCCCCCCACAGTCTAATTTTCTCTTCTGAGGCTTCACATGGCACCAGTGGCTCCAGGACTCCTTCCTTCTGCAGCTCTCACAGGCATCNGAGATTGAGAAATGCTTATATATTTAGGATAAGAAAAGTTTCATAGTAGCTTCACCAATAAGTGATAGGATAAGAAAAGTAACTTGAGAAAATTATTTCCCTACACAAGCAGACTTGAGCTTCAAAAGGCTCTTGTAGATAGACACACATTTTTCAGGGAAAGGATAGACAGAAAATTAGAATTGACAGAATTAGAATAAAAACACCAAAAGCTACACAACAATAAAATAATTTAACACTGGATTCCCCCTGGAACAAAAATTAACACCTTTTAGACAGAATTGAGAAGGAGATTAACCCAACAACAGACACTGACCAATAAAAATCAGAGATGACAATTTTGAACTCACCAATCAGGAATGACAATTTTGGAAACCATGAAATGGTATTCCAATGAAACAATGTACAAAAGAAATGGTTTGCAATTGTTTAAAAGAAACAATTAGCTCTCTTAAAGTCTTGGACTTTAAGAGAGCTAATTTCAATAAACTTGAGAGGGCTTGGGAGAGGGATTCCATGGATGAGAATCCTCAAGGGGAAAACAACTCAAGAAGCTTGGGCAATTTTAAAAAAATAACCCAGTCTAGCACAATACCAACAAAGAAGAAAAATAATAGCTCTCACAAGAAACCAGCATGGCTGCATAAAGAACTCTCTGATAAATTGACATATAAGATGGACCAGTATAAAAAGTGGAAAGAGGGGCACATACCTAAAGCAGAATATTAGCAAATAGTCTGAGCCTGCAAAAGATGAGGTGAAGAAAGCTAAGGCTCAAAATGAACTAAGGCTTGTGACCACAGTCAAAAATAATAAAAAAACAAACAGTCCAACTTATCAAAAACAGTACCATAAAAAAAGATTAGAAACACAAGTTAAGATAGGCAAGAAAAATGGTAAGTGAGCATTTATCCAGCCTAGAAGAGTTCAAATCACCAGGATCAGATGGATTACAACCCAAGGTTCTCAAGGAACTGGCAGATGTGATCTCAGAACCACTGAACTATATTTTTCAAAGATCCTGGAGCACCAGGGAACTACCAGAGGACTGGAAAAGAGCTGATGTAGTTCCCCTCTTCAAAAAAAAAGAAAAGATCCAGAAAACTACTAACCCATTATCCTGACCTCAATACCTGGGAAGATTCTGGAAAAGATAATCAAACAAGAATCAGTGAACACCTAGAGGCAAACAAAGTCATTACCAAAAGCCAACATGGGTTTGTTAAAAACAGATCATGCTAGACACATCTTATTGCATTCTTTGACCCAGTTACAAAATTAGCGGACTAGAGGAATGCTGTGGATATAATTTTCTTGGATTTCAGTAAGGCATTTGATAAAGTTCGTATAGGGTTTCCTTCCTGAGCAGGGGGTTGGACTAGATGACCTCCAAGGTCCCTTCCAATTTTATTATATATTATTAAATGCAAGAGTGAAATCTTTCTAGCAGATGAACTTAAAACATTCCTCCTGCTAACTTTGGGCTTTTCTTAAGAGTACAGAGAGAGAAAGGAAGAAGAAAAACAAACAAACGAACAAACACATTTTTTTTCTTCACTCTGTTTGTTGGCCAGACAAACAGAGTGAGGTATTTCCTTTTTGTGGCTTATTTTAAGCAGAATTTCTAGCAGAATTTAAAATTCTTTTTCTTTCTTTGGATTTGAAACAGTTAACAGTCACATTTACCTCTCACACACAGACTTTGACAAACATATATACACAAAGACAAGAGAACAGAAGTCTTAGGTTTACACATCCTAGTCATTCCCACTATAAGTTTCAGATAGCTCAACATACCACGTGGTTGCATAGAGAAGAGAGAGAGAGAGAGAGAATAACTATTTCTTATTTTCCCTTTTAAGTACCTTTATTTAGCCAAATTGGTTTCCCAGCAAAGCCCTAAGCAAAGTCTATTTTTTTTTTAACATATAGTTTCTTTACCTATCTCTTTTTTCATACCTGCCTGAATGGGTAGCTGATTCCCATACCAGGCCTCAAGCAAGCTCTCAACCGGGAAACCTGTCTCAGCCCTTGTATTGGGCACTATACACCGGAAGCCTCCTTGTGAAACCAACTTTGGCTCCAAATCTCTCTGCCCCAAGCAAGACCTAACGCATACAAATGCAGATGTAAAACCATTAGAAAGTTGAAGCCAGAGCAATCAAGAAAAGAGAAAATCTGCATGCCCCACCCAAACTCTAGGAGTCATTAGCCCCATCACCTGGGAAGCAGGATATGATAATAGGATTAAACCACAGATATCAAGGCCTAGAAAAATACTCAGAAATAGCCTCGAAGTTCATGGAACAGGAAACCATTCCAAACAGGGCTAGAAGTGGTATAAAAACCTTTTCTACCCATGTGCTCAGTTTTTTTTTTCTTTTCCTCTGCTCCTTCTTGCAAGGACTATCTTTCTGCTTCAATAAACTGTAACCTTCTTCCCAAAGCAGTCACCATGTTTGCTTATTTATTCCCGGCTTGGATGAACCAGGATGAAGACTTTACTTCTAGCAAAACCTTTCTATTGAATTATTTAATAATGGAGATCAGGCACATCCTTCCATACAAAACAAAAATCAGCAGAGACTAATTTCTGTAATCTCATTTTTAGATATAAACACCCATATCTTTGAGTTAGTGTTGACCATCTGTGACTTCCTGAACACATCCCTGTAGACATTTTTTTAGGTAAGATTTTCAATAGTGGCCTGTCATTACTTGTTTCCTAGGGCCGAGACTGTTAGCCCAAAATCACTACCTAATTTCATGCCTCAACCAGGACTAGACATTTCTAGTCCAATGCCAATGCCTTTAAACCACTGCACCAAACTGGTTCTCAACCCCATTATACAGATTTATATTAATTACGATACATATATTGCAGCAGAAAATTTGATTGGGTATCCATTTGGATACAGCAGCAGAATACAGTAATTTAACTGGAAATGTACTTTTGATAAAGACACTGAGGTAATGAGGGCGGCACAACAAAAACAACAGTTCACTAAGTTAAGCAAAGTCTGTGTTCTCTGAATGAGAATTATTATTGATATGTTAATTATCTCCCTGTGGCCTTGTTTCCCAGCGGTTCCTAATCACGTTTTGCAATTGAATGTTTTAGGGTTGACCTGACAATTTTCTCTCCCCCTGAGAAGCTCGGTTTGAGAAGGGGATAATTTACTTAACTAATCCCATTTTTCCACTACACTGAAGACGATGGAAGTGGCACGAGGTGACACTGAACATTAAGCTAGGGTGAATCAAACCAAAACTTTTATTATAACCTTTAGCCCAAAGAGCTCTACAATAATACATCACATAAACCTATAACTAGCGTAAAATGAGCAACAAAACATCATGAAATAAACAAAATAAGATTAATACAGATAACAGCGGTCCCCATTAAAATTTGTATCAATCTTTGGCACCAAATCAGGTCATCCGAAAAAAGAGGTCGCGAAACGAGCGAACTTGGGGGTGGGGGGGAGGGAAGAAATGACGTCCCGCACCCCTTAAAAGTCACCCCGTTAGCACACACCTTGTTTGAATAGACCGGAACGCTGGGGACGTTGCCGGTAAGGCAGCGTCGCTTGCGAAAGGGTTTCCTGGGGGGCCCTTTCGGCTCCGAGTCGCTGCTGGAGCTGGAATCTACCTGTCGGGGAGGTGAGGGAAACATCAGGAAGGCGTTACCCAGACGCGAAAATTCTATCCGGCTTCTCACGATTGTTCCCTCCCTTCCCGCCTGCTCCTATTTACCGTCTCCGCCATCGCAGGACACTTTTCTATTGGTTTCGTTATTCATGTTGCTCCGCCTCCTAAGCTCCGATTGGGCTCCACCCAAGATTCTTTGTTTCTTCACACCTTCAAGAAAAGTTTGAGCGAGCAGGGATTAACGATAGAAGCCTTCGCTTCCGCAGCGCTAAGCAGTCTGGGGATGGTAGTTTTTTGTTGTTGTTGTTGTTTTTTAAGGCAAGACTGTTCCGATGGTTTGTTTTTCGGGGCGGGTCGAGAAGAGCAATCTCGGGTTGCGCGCTTTCTCGAGAGACGCCTTTTTTCCCCCCCGAGGCAGTAAACCTCTGGATGAAATGCAAATACGTATTTTGCACCATCTTAACCCTTGCAGCGAATCATCCATTTTGGAGGGATTAATTACTACTTGGACTCAGCCACATGCCAACTCATGGGAGGCCGTACCCATCCAGGAGGGCCATGAATCCAGAACACGTGGCTGAACTCGCGGCTCCAAAGAGCTTATCCAGTTCCTCAAGGGCAACCGGCTCAGCTCTCAGATAACATGGCTCAGACGTGTCTCCCTCGCAGTGTTTCTCAACCTTGACCATTTTAAGGCATGTGGACTTCACATGCCTTAAAATTGTCAAGGCTGAGAAACACTGAGTCTAAGGCAGTATTTCTCAACCTTGACAATTTTAAGGCATGTGGACTTAAACTCCCAGAATTCCACAGCCAACATTGCTGGCTGGAATTCTGGGAGTTGAAGTCCACATGCCTTAAAATTGTCAAGGTTGAGAAACACTGCTCTGAGGAGTCTGCCCAGCCAGAGTCCAGTTCTCAGCAAAATCTAGTGATTTGATCTAACAGATGCCAAGAATATTCCTCACGTTGGGACCTTGCAAGATCTTCTTTACCCAGGAGAGATCTGATTATCTGAAACAGGGCAGCCAGTTGACTCCCTGCAGAAGCAATAAGAGCGATTAAGTAATTATGTTTTGCAACTCTCATCCCCACAAGATAGAGACTAATACATGTTTTTACCTGTGTTCGGGCAAGTCTCGCACTTTGTGTTCCTCCCGCGATGCTATAGGCATCACTTAAGCTAGAATGATAGAGATGCCTCTTATATTTTATCTGCCTATTTATCTCTTTATTGGAAGTTAAAAGGCCTCTGATCTGCCCCCAGTACTTTTAGCAGTTTTCTGATCTGCCGATCAGCATACAATCCCAGTACTTAAGACTAGCATCCCACTAATGAGATCAAGGAACAGGAATTCCTTCAGGGTGAGGAAAACGCCACTTGGAGGGAGGGAGCTACATATCTGAAGGCAATCTTTCTTTCCAGATTTCACACACTTCAGGATCAAAGCAGGAGCATCCCAAACCAGCATTAAACCTGCATGTACACAAACCAGACATCTGAATTTACACCAAGGGACTAGTACCCCTCTAAAACCAAGTCCCTGCTCCCATTTTTCTCTGCAATCTACCCTTTTTGTTCTGGAGAATAAAATATTTTTCACAGTATGTCTGGATTTCATTTTCTTGGTTTTGTTCTTGCTTCATCCCGGCTCATGGAAACCCCAAATTAACAGGTAGACCTTGACTCATGACAATTCAGTCCAAAATTTCTGTTGCTAAGCAAGACAGTTGTTAAGTGAATTTTGCCTCACTTTACTACCTTTCATGCTATAGTTGCTAAGTAAATCACTGCAGTCATTAGTCACATGGTTGTTAAGTGAATCTGGCTTCCCCATTGACTGCTTGTCAGGTCACAAAAAGTGATCATGTGACCCTGGGACACTGCAAATGTCATAAATGGGAGTCAGTTGCCAAGCTTCTGAATTTTGATCACATGACTAGGGGGATGCTTTAATGGTTATAGGTGTGAAAAATGGTTGTAAGTCACTTTTTTCAGTGCTGCTGTAACTTCGAATAGTCACTAAAGGAATTGTTGTAAGTTGAGGACTGCTTGTATTCTTCCCATATTACTATCACATTGTTAAAGTACCCATCTCTCTCACAGAGGAAGTTTGGGCAGTGTGCATTAAAATATTAAAATTATAAATATAAGTTAAAAATTTAAAAGAGCCAAGGATGTGAGGGACGTCAGCTCCCCAGAGAAGGAAATATTAAAAGGGCAGGAAAATATATTTCCTCAAAAGGATTTTTAAAAGCAGAAGCCAACCCTGCCCCCAAGTCTCTCTGGCCCAAGCAGGAGCCAGCCCTATACAAATGCAAATGTAAAACATCAGGAAAGTTGGAGCCAGAAACTCAAGAAGACAAAGACCTAAAATCTGCATACCTCACCCAAACTCTAAGAGTCATTAGCCCAGTCCCAGGGAAGCAGGATATGACTTTTGGGACATAATAGGATTAAATCACAGTTACCAAGGCCCAGAAAAGCACACCTAGACTCAGTTCAAAGTTCATGCCACAGGAACAGGAAACTATTCCAAACAAAAGGCTTTCAGAGGGTATAAAAATCTACTCCACATGTGCTCAGCCCTTGATTTCTCTCCTCCTTCCTGCCAGAACCATCTTTCAATCTGGCTCTTCAATAAACTGCAACCAGTCGCCATGTTGTTTATTTATCCAGGGCTTGGATGAACCAGGATGAAGACTTTTCTTCCCACAGATGTTTAAACGCTGTTAAAATTTGAACGGTGAAGGAAGGTCTCACAAGGCGCCAACCAGCCCCATTGTTGCGATGTCATCTGGGCTCTCTATGCAAAGCTGCAGAGCCATGTTTTTGCTCCTTTCCAGAAAGCCAGGAGGGTGGAGCCCTGTCTCACCTCCAGAGGGAGAATATTAAACAGGGCGGGAGCAGAGGCAAAGAAGACTCTCCTCCTGGAACCTGTCAGAATATAGTAAATGTGCATTCTTTGACTCTCCTACCAGTAGGATCAATGTGCTATCTATCCCTGTAATCTCTTTCCTGTGATATAAATTTCTTGCTACAGTTATAAAACCTGTTTCAGTAACCAACTCAGGTCAGATGCTTGATTTCAGGAACACTCACACAAGTGTATACATCTTATCTTTATTAGCTGCCCTCTCCTGTGGCGAAACAATAATCTCATCCAATGTAATAAAACTTTTCCACAGACTAAAACAAAACAGGAAAACTATAGAAAATGACGTAAAATGACTAATGAAAAGAGGCTAATACACCGGTCTGAGCATACTTTTTACATATTATCACAGAAAGACTTCAAACTATTTACCATTTCATTTGCTGATACATATCTTAAATACATCCTGTTGTGTTCTAAAAACAAGTTTATTTAATATACAAAGTTTAAAATAAAGTCACAAACTAGGGCTTAAAAATGAGCATCATAATGATAAAACGTAATTAAGATGTATAAAAATGTCAGGATGGACAAACTGAATTGGCCCAATCAAATGATGAATTTGTTTTTCCCCTGGTGCGACATAGCCAATTATCATGCAAGGCAGGCAACGGCAATCTGTGTATTCTGTACAGTGAAAAGAGACGTTCTCTCAGAACTACTCACAAATAGAGAAACCCCAATACAGGTAGTGCTCGACTTATAACCACAGTTGAACCCAAAATTTCTGTTCCTAAGACATTTGTGAGGTGAATTTTGCCCCAACTTACAACCTTTCCTGCTACAGTAGTTAACTGACTCACTGTAGTTGTTAAGTTAGTCACGTGGTTGTTAAGAGAAGCTGGCTTCCCCACTGATTTTGTTAGAAGGTCGCAAAAGGTGATCACATGACCCTGCGACATTGCAACCATTATAAGTATGAACCAGTTGCCATGCGTCCAAATTTTGATCACGTGGCCATGGGAAATGCTGCAAAGGTCAGAAGTGTGAAAAATGGTCATGTCAATTTTTTCAGTGCCGTTGTAACTTTGAACGGTCACTAAATGACTGGTTGTAAGGCGAGGGCTACCTGTATACAAATTGGCATAGCTTTTGAACACTTTTGGAAAACAAAGGCACATGATCATATCAAGCAACCAGTAACAAAGTATTCAAAATGCTGTAGAACAGAGGTCCCCAACCTTTTGGGCACCAGGGACCGGTTCCGTGGAGAGAGGTTTTTCCGCGGACCAGCGGGTTCATGGTTTTGTGTGCTGCTTGCATCTCGCGGATGGGGCTTTGCTTGTTTGTGCGGAACAGTTGCTGGCATGCCGCGGCCCGGTACTGGTTCACGGACTGGGGGTTGGGGACCCCTGCTGTGGAAGATGTCCATCTCAGAAATTGGGTTCATTACTAAAATATTACAGCCCTCTCCTTCTGCCTCTAATGGATAAGGCTGATAATTAAGTATGCAACTTTCTAGCTAATTTATCTGCAACAGGAAAAGGACATTAGCCCTGGACCACGTGCTGGCTTGGTTCAAAATTCCTTGAGAAGTCTATCAGGTAGCCTTCCAGGAATTTTAGGGCAAGAATGTGAGGCTAGAAATATGAAAAGTTTTCAACAAAACAGGGTTTTTCTGGCTAAAAATAGCTTTATCAGTCCTACAAGAACACACAGTTTTGATCCTGTATGCAATATTAAATCAACACATTGTTTATTAACAATGCCGGATAGATTTTGAATGGCAACTATGCTTAGTAAAAGTTTATGTCAAAGAGATCTATTTCATGGCACTGTTTTTGACTGAAGAGAAATTTTTTTTACCAAGTATTAAATGCTCAGTAGTAGATGAGATTCTGCAAGAAAGCAGTATTACATTCATTTCCTTCTTCTCTCTGTTGCTGTTGCATTTTTTGACAGATATGTAGCAAAACATTCTTAAGTGACAGCAACTTTTTCATAACTCTAAAACTCTCACACAATGGAGCAGGAAAAGGCTTAACATACTGTATTCTAGAATTACTTCCTTCACCTTAGATACTTTGGTGAACACACTGCAGAGATTAGCATGGGTATATCCTTTGGGTGGGGGAAGAAAAATTACATATACAGTACTTGTCCAGGATTGAGTTTATCTTTTCAGAACATGGGTAAGCTGTTGTTGTATCAATTAAAATGGACATTTTTCATTATTTGAATTTGAATTATTTGAATTCTGGACTGCAGAAATATGCTTTGGAAACTGTATGCTTGTTCTTAGAATCCTAGATTCTGTGTCTACAATTAAAATGAAAAAGCCGTGAACTCATTTGGGGGGGGGAAGGGTTTAGCAAATGAAAGCCTAAGCAACAATTCTACTAAAGTTGAATTAACCTTGAGAAAGGTTTATGACTAGAATGGAAGAATGGATGACAAAGGTGATGGAGTTGGTAGAGATGATAAAAGCTGACTGTTTTAATTAAAGAGAAGAACCTTATCTAGTTTTGTTTCTACTTGGAAACCACTTCTGGACCTTGTACTCGAAAGTGAAAATAACGAAACCTTGATTTTAGGTTTTGATTATTAGAACAAGTCTGTTCTTATAGATTTGGCTAGAAATATTTAGAAATGTAAAGCAAAAAGTTGAAGTTATAACTTTTTTATATTTACTGTACAGAAGTGGGAAGTCAGTATTTTTTTCTTTTGTTTCTCTGCAGCACTCTATTTTCCTCTTTAACTTTCCTAACTTTTGTTTCTATTTGCATTTTACCTTATAATAAACTTTTATTAAAGTTTATAATTGAAGAAAGAGAGACAATGGTTTATGTCTGCCCCTTGTTTCTCAATTTCGTGGATCCTATACATATTTTTCCCTCTGGTTAAAACTATCAGTCAAAATTGTTCAAGTTCTAAAAGCTTTACCTGATTTTAGATCAGGCTATTTGAAATAGCATATTTTATCATGTAAATCCAGATGCAGTAGTGGCCAAAATTATGGAAACCTTTTGGGAAAAGCATACAGTAGAAATGCCACCTTTGGTTAAGTTTCCACCTATTTTTCTTCTAATTTCTTTATTACTATAGCCTTGTTCACTTAATAATACTATTTTACATCGCTTTCTGGGCAACCAGTCAACTCTTTGCACCATTACTTTAATTTTATTACGTTTTATAAGCTCACTAAATGAAAGAACACAAAAAACCCCAACCAACTTGATAGTGATCACATAACACACTGACAAATGTCCTCCTCTCAGCTTCAGTACATGACATCAATAACTGAATCCTACTGTGATCTGATTGGCTCATTGCCAAAACAAGATGACACCTGACTGGCTCTCTAAACACTCATGCTCATTGGCTACAATCAGATGAAGGAAAGCTACCTGATATCAACCTAAGCAAGTTGTGCTTCCTTTTTCTGGTTATTTGGCTATAACTTTTCATAGAATACAGTACAGACAATTGACCAAACTTTGTTGCATTACATTCTTGATTAAATTATCTTTCCACTGATATATAATTTTATGGTACTACTCCCCCAAAAAAGTGGTGTTATTAGCCATCAAACCTCAAAAATACACTTTTCCCATAAGGTTTCCACAATTTTGGCCACTACTGTAGGCCTACAGAAAAGTCATTTACAATGGCACTTTCCTCACTTCGGCACTTTGCTACTTCCACCTTTCTGTACTATGGCTCTAATAATGAATATGATTTCAATGCATTGGTAGAATTATTTTAAAAACATATAGAAACTCCAAAAATTCTTTCTATGTAATATATGTTCACAATACTTTCTTGCTATTATCTTTTGGGTGAAGCAGCTTCATGCAAAGCACACAAAAAAATATAAAAAATAGTAAACATGGCAAAAGCAAGATAGTAGCTAAATTTACATCAGTAATATGTATTTTTTCATATCTTTCTCATCTTGAAACTTTACTTCCACATCCATTTCGGACTTTACCTTTCATTCTTTAAACTTCTCATTTCCTTCTTTTTAAGAATCTCACTAACTCCACCCAAACACAATTTTCTTGCTTGCTGCCTATCTTTACACTCACTCTTCTTTTTTAAAAAGTGTGATTTTAAAATTACATTTAAAAGAATATGAATTCTTTTCTATTCAAGGATCAGCTGGCAATTATAGCAACACTAAAAAGTCTTACATTTCTGATTTTTTTTTAAATGGGTAGCAACCATTAGGGAATATTTTTAATAAAAATTAGCCCAGTAAGCTTATACAGGTAGTCCTCAACTTATACAACTCAGCGCAAATTTTCTACTGTTAAGTGAAACATGTCTTAAGTGAGTTTTGCCCCATTTTACGACCTTTCTTGCCACATTTGTTAAGTCGAATCATATTTTTCATAGGCCGTTGTAACTCTGAAGAGTCATTAAATGAACTGTTGTAAGTCGCGGACTAGCTCTACTTCAACCTACATGCACATCAATCATAGCCACTCTGGTTGAAAAAACAGGGCTCTATAAGATTGAGGCCTTTGGACTGTGGTGCTGGCATAAAACATTGCATAAACCATGGACAACCAGAAGAACTAACAGAAGGGTGCTGAATCCTATTAAACTAGAAACAACACTAGAATCCAAAATCACAAGACTACGTCTGACTTACTTTAGCCATGTCATGTGTGCAAATTCATTGGAGAAGCCAATGATGCCAGGAATGGTTAATGGATCAAGAAAAAGGGGCTGCAAAGAACTTGCTGGCTTAATATGATCAGAGCTGACACAAAGATGAACATCCAACAATTGAGAAAAGCTGGACTTGACAGGATAGCATGGAGACCACTTGCCTATAAAGTCGCCAATGAATGAATGAATAAAATGTTTGAAATTCAGACAGGCCCATTTTGAATATCAAACAACTATTTTGAGTTTGAAAAGCTTCCAAACTGATCAAAGCAGTCTTTTTCCACTTGAAATAATTTTCGTGCTTGAAATAGGGTAGTTCAAATTTTACGTTTTTTCAGTTCTAAATGTTTTGCATAGATCTAGCTAGAAAGTTTTTTTAAAAAACCAGGCAGGGTTTCCCCCTTCCCCCTAAAAGAGAGGTTTAGTGTTTTGCTTCACAGCATAATTTGTAGAACAGCTTGATTTTTAAAAATGAAAAGGGTAGAAATCTGGGACTGATGGCTTATTCCAAAGAGTAATTTCCACTTATTGTCTTTCACAGATACCTCTCCTTCACATATTTGTCGTTTTCTTAAGCCAGAGAGGTCAAACATGCGATGTCATGTGACATCGTGCAACGTATCGAGACGGTTTTGCCATTGCTGACAATGGGGTGGGTGCAGCTTCCGGATGGCATGTCCGGCCCATGGGCTGGCAGTTTGACACCCCTGCCTTAAGCCATGGAAGGAAACAAGGCATTGTACAGATCACCAAAGAGAAACCTGTAGCTTGGTTTTCACAGATGACAATTTTCAGCGGAATATATATGGTAATCATTCAGTCAAAGTCGCTGTTCCTGCACTTCATTAAACTCTTCTGTAGTTATTAATTCACTACTGGTCTCTCCTGTCTTGGGGTTTGAGCTGTCAAGTACCTTCTCTTCATCTGTCTTTTGAAGAGGCGTTTTTTCATTGGATGTTCCTGTAACTGAATTCTTCTTGACTGTAAATGGAGAGAAAATTTTAAAAAGTGTCACTAACAGGTACAATTTAATTCACATATGACTGGTCCCTTAATGACCTTACAAAGTTACTATAGAGTTACTTACAACTTGTTTTCAGTTAGGACAGCCTTATCCTTGTCACGGTCATGTGATCACATTTTGGGCACTTGGCAACTGGCACACCTTTACTGCTGTTTGTACCATCTCAGTCACATGACCGTAAGTTGCCATTTATTTGATAGTTTCCAGCATTTATGTCTGGTTTCTGGCACAAAAAGGCCATTGGGAAAATGGATTTTCTTAACAACCACTGTCTTCGCTTAACAACTGCCACAAAAATTGTCACAATAACCTATGATCATAATTCCGGGCTTAAATATAGTCATAAGTCAAGGACTAGCTGAACAGTTTTCTCACTTGCTTTGCTTTAACAGAACATAATAGAGTTAGAAGGGACCTTGGAGGTCTTCTAGTCCAACCCCTTGCTCAGGCAGGAAATCCTATACCATTTCAGACAAATGGCTGTCCAATCTCTTCTTAAAAACTCCCAGTGTTGGAGCATTCACAACTTCTGGAGCCAAGTTGTTCCACTGATTGTTCTCACTGTCAGGAAATTTCTCCTTAGTTCTAGGTTGCTTCTCTCTTTGATTAGTTTCCACCCATTGCTTCTTGTCCTGCCTTCAGGTGCTTTGGAGAATAGCTTGACTCCCTCTTCTTTGTGGTAACCCCTGAGAAATTGGAACACTGCTATCATCTCACCCCTAGTCCCTCTTTGTCAACACCATTAAACCCTTCATTTTTTTAGATGTGAAAGCTTACCTTTATATTTACAGTACACTATTCCAGCTCCTAGTACCGATCCAAATCCGAGTCCAATAGCCAATCCCAACAGCCAAGGAATCACTGAAGTTGGTGGAGTTGTAGGGGTAACTGTGGGCCGAGAAGGTGAGAGAAAAAATGTATTCCTAGTACTTTGGGTACCTGGGAGACTGGGAGGAATAATCGCATCTCCCTCACCTTCTGGCCACCAAAGGACAGACTGTTCCAATGGGGTCTCCAAAGCTTCATGTTCTACTCGACAAACATAAGTGAGTTTAACATCACTCGTCTGTGGAAATAAGACACTGTTGATGGAAAACATCCCATTGTGCATGCGGTGCATCTCCGACTTTACATACTCTTGTGGCACTCCGTTTTGCAACCACTGAATGTGGATTTGAGAGGGATAAAATTTGCTCACTTTGCACTCAGCTGCCACAAATTTCTCCCCCTGTGGCCTTGTGATCAGCTGAAGGATGGGGCGAGCTGCAAAGAGAGGAAGGAAACTTGAACTTCTGGATCCAATCGGCCAGGGTTTCTCAAGTTTGGCAACTTGAAGATGGGTAGACTTCAATTCCCAGAATTCCCCAGCCAGTCAGCTGCCAAGCTTGAGAAACATTGCAATAGACAATTCCCATCATTAGTTCCCAACTCCTTGAAGCCAGTCTTGGACCCACCTGAGATTACAGGTAGTCTTCGGCCTACAACCATTTATTTACTGAGTGTCTGAACTTACAGTGGCACTGAAAAAATTAAAGTATGACCATTTTTCACACTTACAACCATTGCAGCATCTCCATGGCCATGTGATTAAAATTCAGACAGTTGGCAACTGGTTCATATTTATGATGGTTGCAGTGTCCTGAGGTCATGTGATCAGCTTTTGCAACTTTCTGAAAGCAAAGTTATTCTTGGCACAGCTGTTGTGTAAACTAGGGTCAGCTGTTTTAGCTGACCAATCAGGGAACACCAAAATCAGTATCCAGCTACTGACTGTGTCCCTCTTCCATCTAAAACAGTCTTTCTTAAACTTGGCAACTTTAAGATGCTTGTACTTCAGAATTTTGGGAGTTGATATCCATGCACCCTAAAATTACCACGTTTGAGAAACACTGATCTGAAACAAACACAGGTCATGAGCTACGAAGCTACTTGTCAATGGTGTTAACATCGGATGTTCTTGCTTTGACAACACATGGAAATGCAGCCATTTTACTCTTTTGCTTTTAGAGTTAGTTGATGCTGGGAGGGAGAATGTGGATAAGAGTCCAGTTAGTCATAACAATAATAACTCAGCCATGGGAATCTAAGGTTATTACGCCCAGAGTTGATAAAGATTTGGCGGGCTGGAGAGCTGGGGGAAAAGCCTGCACTTCAAGCTAATTGGGGAATGTGATTTGTCCAAAATGGTATAGGGTTTCCTGCCTGAACAGGGGGTTGGACTAGATCAGGGCTTTTCAACCTATTCACCCATTGTACCACTTTTAGGATATGGCAACATCCGAGTACCACCAGTCACCTAGCAAGGTGTCAAAAACTTGATGACCCCCCCCAAAGGAAAAAAGTGATAAAGTACAGATAGTCCTCGACTTACAACAGTTCGCTTAGTGACTGTTTGAAGTTACAATGGCACTGAAAAAAGTGCCCCCCAAGCCACAGCCAAGCAAGACACCTGCCTACCCGCCCGGCCACCCTCTTCCTCCTGTCCGAGGTTTTCATTGTTGTGAGCATTTCTGTTGAGGATTGGCAGCGGAGGTGGGGTGGGGAATGTTTGGTTTTTATTCCCCCCATTTGCTGGGTGGTTGCAGCAGGTTTTGGTCACTTCACATGACCCTGGGACACTGTGACCGTCATAAATATGAATCAATGGCCAAGCATCTGAATGTAAATCACAAGACCCTGGAGATACTGCAACATTCCAGATGATCAGCATTTCTTCTGGGCTCAGCAGAAGCACCAGGATCAGCGCCGAGCTCCAGCTGGAGCCTGGCACTGATTCTGGCACTTCCACTGAGCCCTGACAGCCCTGCAGCTCCAGCCATCTCTCGCTCAGGTTTGTGCAGTGCTGCCACCAGTTCAGCTCATTCCCCTCCCGCTACCACTTTTCTAGGATGGTTGCGTACCACCTGCCAGGTGCCAATGTACCGCAGGTGGTACCTGTACCACTGGTTGAAAAGCCCTGGACTAGATGACCTCCAAGGTCCCTTCCAACTTTACTACTACTACTACCACTACTACTACTACTACTATTATTATTATTTATGATTGTTAATTGGAGGAGGGAATTGTGCTTTGTTACTTTGTTGCTCAGGGGAGGGGAATTCAGTTTTTGGCTTTAACTATGTAGTGCCGATACTTTGTTTCTCGAATAAAAGATTATTTAAGATAAACAATGCCTCAAAGTTCTTTTGAAGTGTTTCATCTGTTGGAACCATGACACTATGGGCATTCCTGGATCCTACAGGGAGCCAAATTGCCTGATGCCCACCAGTGGGAAACCAGGCAGCTTCTAAGCCCTACGGAGCTTAGTTGTGCTAGCAGAGGGAGAGGTTACAGGGCATAAAGGCCATATATTTACAATCTCAAAGAACCAATCTATCAAGATAGTAAATCTACTGTAGCTTTTATCACACACAGTTTGAACAACCATCATTACAGATATATGCAGTTACTGCAATACCCTTGTGTTTTTATTTCTCTCTTCTCCTGACTTACAGCAACATCTCTGGGGTCCATATCCAATGTTTGGGGAGCTATGTGTAGCACTGGGAGCTTAGATTGTGCACCACTGTGTCTGAAAGGTGCAAAGATGTCAAAATGGTGTGTGCCATGTTCTGATTCTACAGGGAGCACAATTTAGTACGTTAGTCTTTTTTGCCCGTTTGGCAAATATCCAACTTGTGCATATCCTTCTGGGTAACATATAAAACATCATATAGTATCTTTCAACTTAGTATTAGAACATATACAAGTCCCCAAGAGCTTCTCATCTTCCACTAAATACAGATTAGTTGAAAGAGTGACATTACCCAAAAGGCAGAAACGTCTCCAAGTTGAGTCTAAAGCTAGCTGTGAACCTAATGGCTGGTTCATGCTACACAACAGTATGGTTTGTTTGGTTCTGACTTTAGGATGTCACATTAACTAAGTCATATGGGCTTTGTCAGCTAAGGGTCTGTAACTGGGTGGGTCACATAAATATAGTCAATTAGGACTTTTAAAAAAATAAAGATTTAAATAAGCAAGATGATGTTTTCTGCATTTTGTGAACTCAGCTCTGCCCAAATTTCAAGAAACAGGTTAAAATAAAGAGGCTGTGACTGGACAGCTGGAGAAAGGCTGTCAGCAATCCTTGCTTTCCAAGCAAAAGGTCAAACTCACCTTGCAACTGCAGCCGGAAATTTAGTACCTCTGGCCCTTCATTTGCTTGGTGGTGGATATGGCAAGAGAAGTTGGCATTGGCATCCGAAAATTGTGGTATGAGCTTCAAGACACTTTCTGCTCTGAACAATTGGCCGGTGCTGGGCTGAGCAGGAGGCTGTTCGGGGCCTTGCACAATCCTATCATTTTGGAACCACGTCATGGATATATTGCCAGGATAAAAATCTGTTGCTGTACACGCAACCGTGCTTGGCTTGGTCAACTGCACTTTTGTGGAGCCAAGTTTAACAAGTGGGGGAGCTGGAAACAGAGAGGGTAGAAGAAGACATTCTTACTATCTAGGAAGCCGATTAAATCCATTAGTCAGCATCCAAGGCCAACAGCTGTGATCCACCTACTGCTATATAGTATTGCTTGGAAGTGTGCAAGTCAACATCTGGAAGCTGCAGGCAAGACAGAATGGGAAAACTCCAAAAACAAGAACAGAAAGATTGTTAGCTTCCTACAGGAAATGTTTCAAAGCTGTAATTTGTCACAAAGGGGGTGGCACTGTTCGAAAGAATGTCTAAACATCTGCACCTGTCATTCCCAATTTTCTTACTCTGGGTCAATAAACATTGTAACACACATTCAAGTTGTAGAAAGATGCATTTAACTTCATACCAGACGTAGGTTGTATCCAGTTCTGTTCTCTTAGGAATTTACTGAAACACACACACATTTAAAAAATACACATATACATACATAAAATGTATGTATGCATTNCTACAGCAAGAAGGATTTTGGCTGACAAGTAATTTTGATGGGCAAACCAAGCTAACAAACTTTTTTAGGGAGGAAATTCAAAGAGAAAGAAGACACTATTGATAATAATCTCTCCAATGGCCAACAGTCCAGCTCAGATAATGGCTAATCCCCAGACAGCAAGATGTGATGACAATTTCAGATGGTATAGATAGCTGAGGTAGATATGACAGGGTCTTATTTTATTTGCATATTCATTCTAATTGTGTGTGTGTGTGTGTGTGTGTGTGTGTGTATATATATATATATATATATATATATATATATATATATATATATATATATATATATATATATATATATACTTTTTAAATTTATATGGGGGTCAGAGGATATACCTGACAAAAAAAAAGAAGATGGAAGGGGGGCTGGGTGGGTTTATCCCCCCCCCCCCATTTGTAGAAACACTCTATTTTTGTTTCTCCTTTCTGAGGACAGGTTTCCCTGCAAACCCTCCAGATGTCCATTTGATTTGAACTTAAGGATGCTTCACTGTTTTAGAACACTACCTCATGATACAGCTTTCCTCTCACCCCAGACCATAGCTGAGTCTCCTCATTTTGTAGTTTTCAGAACCATGGTTGTTAGTTTTCCTAACACAAGCATGAGTATTTTCATGATGTGCGACTTTGATAGTGATTGAGCTGAAGACATGACCAGGGATGTCTTCATCTATTGTCTGCTTTCAGTCAATGCAAGCATATTTCCCGCAATCACCCAAGGTGGATGATGGCAACAGATGGGTTGTTTGGTGGGAGAGACTGACTCTTTGAAGTCATATTAAGACTCTTGAAGTCATCCTCCAAGCTCTCCCATTTGTCATGTTGTCACACATATCCAAGCTTCCATAGCAGTGGCACTGTTCAAAACCGGGAGGAAATACCTCCCACCAGTCACAACATCACACTCTGGAAGGATAAGCTGCTCTGAAACAAGAAAATATTATGTGCGATTGTCAAGGTCATTTTCCCCTTCTTTGGCGGTCTTTACTGTCAAGTACATAGCCTAGGCCTGTAGGCCATATCATAGAAAAGAAAAGAAAAATTACAATCCGAAGAATTGCCTGCAAGCATTTCTTGCCTGGCACATAATTTTTGAAAGAAAGAACTATAGAAGAAGCCAGAGAAAAGATAGAGAAAGCGAGGGGGGGGGGCAGGAGTCTTCTAGGTGTGGCAGGAGATGTGCTGGAGAAAAAGGTGACAGATGTTAATGTGGAGCATCAGAAGCAGGGGCTAAGAAAGCAGAGAGCCAAAGGATTCACAGCTAGGGAGAAAAGACCAAGAAAAAGGCCAAGGCAGCATAAAAAAGGCAAAGAGTAAATCTGCAAAAAGTGGCAGTGGAAAGGAAAACGTAGACCTAGAATATAGGCAGAACAAACTCCAAGTGTTTCTGGTGTGAATACAGTAACTGGGCAAAAATGAGAATAGTTGTTGGCATACTGTGCTAAGGATAAATGCATGTGAGAGGATGAAAATCCCAGCAGGTTAAGTGACTTATGCTATAAAGAAGCAAAACTCATTTAGTTAAATGAATATTTAACTCATCTAGTATACTTCATAATTAGATTTTGATGGTGCATACATTTACATATATATTAGTAACTGTGTGTGTGTACTGTATAGAGAGAAACGCACATATATTTACTAGAATTCTTGTAAATACATTACATACTCACCATGTATAGCAATAAATAGCATACTCACCATGTATAGCAATAAATAGCATGTATAGCAATAAATAGTGTGTGCATGTATCTGGTTTTGTTCCTGTTGGTTCCCACCCTCTGACAAACTGCAACAGCTGATGACATGTGTGGTGTGCTGATAGGTAGCAAGGGAGCTGTTGGCTGAAGTAGGATATTCCTCCCTGTTCAGGCAATCTCTTCTCCCATTTGTGGATGTCACAAGTTCCCACTCAGCTTGTTAAAAACTGGGTGAATCGTTCACAAGGAAGAAGTGGTGCTTTCTGAATTGAAAGTCCTCCTGCTTCTGCCAGATCTACAGGTAGTCCTCAACTTACGACCCCACAATTGAGCCCAACATTTATGTTGCTAAGTGAGAAATTTTGCCCCATCTTATGACTTTTCTTGCCACATTTGTTAAGTGAATCACTGCAGTTGTTAAATTAGTAACACGGTTGCTAAGTAAATCTGGCTTCCCCATTGACTTTACTTGTCAGAGGTTGCAAAAGGTGAGCACATGACCCTGGGACACTGCAACCTTCATAAATCTGAGTCAGTTGGCAAGCACCCGAATGTAAATCACGTGACCACAAGGAATGCTGCAAAGGTCAGAAGTGTGAAAAACGGTCATGTCAATTTTTTCAGTGCTGTTGTAACTTCGAACGGTCATTAAGTGAACTGTTGTAAGACAAGGACTACCTGTATTTCAACCTATGTGCATGTCAATCATAGCCACTCTGGTTGAAAAACAGGGCTCTATAAAATTGAGGCCTTTGAACTGTGGTGCTGGCATAAATGATTGCATAAACCAGGGCTTTTCAACTTTTTCACCCATTGTACCACTTTTAGGATATGGCAATATCCGAGTACCACCAGTCACCTAGCAAGGTGTCAAAAACTTGATGACCAAAAAAAAAAAAGGAAAAAAGTGATAAAGTACAGGTAGTCCTCGACTTACAACAGTTCGCTTAATGACTGTTTGAAGTTACAATGGCACTGAAAAAAGTGCCCCTCAAGCCACAGCAGAGCAAGACACCTGCCTGCCCACCCGGCGGCGCTCTTCTTCCTGTCCGAGGTTTTCATTGTTGTGAGCATTTCTGTTGAGGATTGGCAGCAGGGGTGGGGTGGGGGGTGTTTGGTTTTTATTCCCTCCCATCTGCTGGGTGGTTGCAGACGGTTTTGGTCACTTCACATGACCCTGGGACACTGTGACCGTCATAAATATGAATCAGTTGCCAAGCATCTGAATGTAAATCACAAGACCCTGGAGTTGCTGCAACATTCCAGCTGATTGGCGCTTCTTCTGGAAAGCAGCACTGATCCTGGCGCTTCCGCTGAGCCCTGACAGCCCTGCAGCTCCAGCCATCTCTCGCTCAGGCTGGTGTGGTGCTACCACCGGTTCAGCTCATTCCCCTCCCCCGCTACCACTTTTCTAAGATGGTCGCGTACCACCTGCCAGGTGCCAATGTACCACAGGTGGTACCCGTACCACTGGTTGAAAAGCCCTGGCATAAACTATGGACAGCCAGAACAACTAAGAGAAAGGTGGTGAATTGTATTAAACCAGATTGTCCTATCAGGAGATATCACCTACTGACAAGTCTATGGGGAGATCATGCAAAGCTACTTCCTTAACGGGTCTGATTCACTCGCCATCCCTGTGACTCAAGCCCTGGAGGTAAAGTGGAGGTGGATTGCATCTTCCTGGTAAAGCAAGAAGTAGATGTAGTCCTTGACTCCTGACCATTCATTTAGTGACCATGTGAAATTGCAACGGCACTAGAAAATATGACTTATAACCAGTCCTTGCCCTTACAACGGTCACAGTTGTCCCTCCCAGTCGTGCGATTAAAATTCTGGTGCCTGGCAATTGCCATGTATTGTATTATGACACTTGCAGTGTCCAGGGGCCACAAGAGTACAATTCCTGACTTTTATTGCCAGCTTCTGACAAGCAAAATCAATGGGAATCAGATTCGCTTAACAGCAATGCGATTCACTTAACAGCCACAGTGATTTCTTTAATGACCACAGCAACAAAAAAAAGTCATAAAATTGGGCACAACTTGCAACAGCCGCTTTTCACAGTGACAGGCATTCCAGCCTGATTGTGGTCATATCTTGAGGGCTCCCTGTAACTGAAATTTTTTTCAAGCAAAAAAACCCAAAAAAACCCTGATGCTGTAGTTATTACTGAATTAAGTATGTTTTAGCATCATTAATAGTCAGTGACCCCTAACTCCCCCCAAAACACTTTAAAACTGTGGTCTAGATCAGGGGTAGACAATTACTTTTCCCAAGGAGCCACATTGGAAACTGGGACTGTTGTGGAAGGCTGCTGCTGCCAACCCGTTCTCCTGCCATCCCACCCCGCCCCACCCCTGCCCCTGCTGCCACTGCCCCCCTCCCACTGGGATGTGGCCTGTAGGCCATAAAATGCCACAGGATTTTAACCAGTAGTGGGATTCAGCCAGTTTGCACCACTTCGGCAGAACCGGTAGCTAATTTTTTGTTGCCCAGGCCCAGAATGGACTTCTGGAAGCGGCATCCACACAGAAAACCAGTTGTTCACATATTTGAATCCTACCACTGATTTTAACCTGTTGTGCTCATGCTTTAAACATTTTTAAGGTTAACATCTGAACCTCATTCCGTTTCCCTTGATTTCCTTTACCTTCCACTTTCAACTCTACTGACTGTTGTTCACGGTCAGGGCTGTGGATAACAACGCAAGCATAAGTGTTGCCATCTGCATCCTGCACATTTGGAAGCAGGAGGCTGGCATTGCCCCGTAGCAGGTCTTCAGGAGACATATTTGCCCCTTTTTGAACGATTTCTAACTTATCTTCATACTTAGCAATAATTCTGGTGCCCACAAACCATATCACAGCCAGGCTTTTGGGATCTATGTGCCCAGAAGACTCCTCAAAATAACAAGGTAGGAGGACATCAGAACCTGGTTTGGCTTGAATTGTTCCTTCGGGGATTGTAACGGTCAAAGCTGCCTCTGAAAGAGAAAGATAACAGGAAGAATTGCTGTTAGAAAATCAACAGAAGGCACTACAGACGTTCCTCAACTTACCACAGTTCGCTTAATGACTGTTCCAAATTACAATGGCACTGAAAAAAGTGACTAGTGACCATTTTTCACACTTATGACTATTGCAGACACTTGGCAACCGACTCAAAAGGAATTTGTTTTTGGTGCATAAGCTCTCAGCGTACATACAAGCAACAAGTGATAAATCGTGATCATAATCATAAGATACAATCATCATAAATCATAAGATGCAACACTCAGTGATAGTCATAGGATACTAAATTACAAATGCACATACATCATAATAGGATACTAATAAAAAACCATTAACATAAATCGTAAGATACAAACAACAAAGTTATAGTCATAAGAAACTAAGGAAATAGGTAATAGGAAAGATGAGAAGGATAATAGTAATACAGCCCTACTAGGTAGTTTGACATCCCAGGCATAAGACAATATTGTGGGAATTAGTTGTTTAGCAGAGTGATGGTATGGGGGGGGGGGGGAAACTGTCCTTGTATCTAGCTATTGTATCTAGAAGTCTTCTCAGTTGAGATCAACCAATCTGAAGAGATCTTCTGAGGAAAAGCTGGTTTTGATCCCCAAGTTTTTGTGAGCCGGCAAGGGGTTGAAGCCAGAAAATACTTTTTTCCCCTCATCATGGCACCTCAGAAGGCAGACTGGGCCCTCAATGATGGTCGTGTGAAGATAGTGAAGACCCAGCACTTTTGGATGGTGCACAATGCACCATCTGAAACAAAGTTTTATTGCTTAATTCATTAGTCAGGGTATGGCTATTTATTGTTGTTTCATTTCATTTTGATCTTGCTGCACTAAATTTATTGTATATATATATATGTCTGACAAATAAGTACATATTTGGGATGAGAATGCTGTATATCCTTCAGGTGAAGAGTAATTTTGTAAAGGAAGGTTTATTCTTTGACTGAACTACAATTATAAGAATTCCTTGAATGCAGATTCCTTCCGAAATTCATCATCTATTTCCACATTATCTATAGCAGTAAAATATTATTTCAGGGACAGTTCTGAGAGCTGTTTTTCTTTCTAATGATCTCCTCTAAGTGAGGGCATCTCTTGACATTTGAACGGTGTGCTGAAAGCTGCCATTTCAAAGGGATATAAAAAATCATGACTTAGCCTAACAAAGGAAACCCTATCAAGAGTTAAGTGGCAAGCCCCACTTAGCTGGGCAAGAAATACAACAAAATGAACTAGTGTCAGGATCCCAAGAACCAGTGCTTTTTTTTTGTCATAGAACGTACCGGAACGGCGTTCCAGCACTTTTTTTTTTTTTTTTGACGGATTTGCCTTAAATACAATAAATTAAATTTATGTTAAGAACTGAATATATATATATTTTAAATAAAAGATTAACAAGATGTGAGTTCCGGCACCTTTTTTCTTACAAAAAAAGCACTGCCAAGAAACAAGTGGATTTACCTCTGAGCAGTTGCCTCATCTCTGGACAAAAATCTTACCAAACTCAAGCAACTATTTGGATCATTATAGATATACTCTGGGAATTGCTAGGGAGGAGCCTTCTTAACTCTTTCTCCTGACCAAACTCTCCATGCTTCAGTGACCCTTTGCCCTCTGGAATGCCAAACTGGAGAGCCACTTTGGCCTAGTGGTTAAGGCACCAGGTCAGAAAGCAGGAGACTGGGTGTTCAAGTCCTGCCTTGGCCATGAAAGTCAGCATCAGCTGGGTGACTTTGGGCCAGTCCCTCTCAGTCCAACCCACAGAGTTGTTGTTGTGCCAAAAATAGGAAGAGAAAGGTGGGTTGTATATGTTTGCCACCTTATTTGTAAAAATAATGAAAGAGAGAGAGGAAGGAAGGAAGGAAGGAAAGAAAGAAAGAAAGAAAGAAAGAAAGAAAGAAAGAAAGAAAGAAAGGAAATCTCCCTTCTGAGAATCCAGACTACATAGCACAAGGAGACAGAATTCAAGCCCTCTTGAACTTTGATCCACCAATCCCCATTGCCACAGGTCTCCAAAAATGACCATCAAGCTGGGTCCGTTGCAACCCCATTGCATTAGCCGCTGGCAAGATACTGGGCACCATCCACAGCTTTTCCACCACGTTTCTCACCCTCTTGTTGGTTGCTGTTCTTGGAGCCCCCCCACAGACACAAAACAGCTGATCAGCAAACAGCTGATGAACCATGTTATCAACAGCATTGAAAGTAAGCTCCAATTGCATAGTTTCCCCTGATAAGCCATCCATGGTTAAGCCTTATACTTGACATCCTTGAGGACAGAAAAGGAAAAGATATTCCCATCACATGGGCTGAAAAGGGAAGTGGCAGAACTCTTCGCCAATTTTATGTGCTTAAAAAAGACAAAGAAGGTTGTTGATTAAAATAGTAAAAACTAACACAAACTAAAAAAAAAAAAGAATGGTGGGAAAAAATAAAAAGCAGATGAAAAAGGAACCAGAGAAAAGAAAGAATACTGTAAGAAAAAGAAAGAAACACATAAAGAAGTGACTTCAAACCTTCATTACTACATAGTTCATACTACCCTATAGTTCGAACCTTCATACTACGGTACATAGCATTATATAGACAAATGTAGTAAGTCTTCAACCCCCTTTAAGGTTACATACAGCTATCTCTTGGTCCCATGTCATATCCCATCCCTTATCTGCAGTATAAGCAAATCCACAACACGTCAACTTTTCAACCCTGATATCAGCGAAAAGTCCGCAAAGGATTGCCAGAATTTTTGAAGTTCAAGTCCTCGCATCTTAAACTGGCCAAGTTTGAAAAACGGCGGCGCGACAGGATCGCAGCCGGGGTAGAGGGGGAGTGGAGACGGGACCGTTTTTCATCCCCTCAAGCAGTTTTTCTCAACCTTGACAATTTTAAGGCATGTGGACTTCAACTCCCAGAATTCCACAGCCAGCAATGCTGGCTGTGGAATTCTGGGAGTTGAAGTCCACATGCTTTAAAATTGTCAAGGTTGAGAAACACTGCGCTTAAGCAAGTCCTCCTAGGCTCAGAAGACTTCGTGGCAATTTCCCTTGACACTCCGCTGCTCCTTTTTCCTTTGAAGAATTAACTGCAATTGGAGGGGGGAGTTATTTCCACCTAGAAGGTGAGAGGTGGTTAAAAAGCGAAAGACCCTCCGCCCAGCATTCAGATAAAATATTTCTCCTCTCCCCTCCCTGGCCTCGCTTTGCTCCCAGCGAGCGTTTTTTCAGTCCCGGGACGTTCCTGAGCCCGGTGGATGCTTGGGTGATTCGGTTTTCTGGTTACTTACGTGTAAACGGCAGATACACCAAGAGACAGGCGAAGGAGCCGAAGGAGAGCGACATTTTTTTAAAAAAACAAGCCAACGTTACAGTTTCGCTTTCCTGTGGCGTTGGAATCCGCCCCTGCTCAGAAGCGTTTTCTGATAAATCGAGAACAAAAAAAAAACAACCCGCCCACGCAGCTGGAAATAAATTTAGGGTATAAACGATAGTTACCCCGCGAAAAAGGGGAGGGAATGGGAAGACATTTAATTTAATTTAACTTTTTAAAAAAGCTAAATAAAGACAAATTGGGGACGGGTAGTTTACCCGAATGACCCGAATTGAAATAAAAATTAAAAGCAAACTTGTTGAGATCACAAGGTGATGAGAAGCAGAAGACAATCCAATACAGAATATGACCTGATAAAACTGATAACAGCAAGAGAAATAAGAACAATAATATGCTGGGATAAGTTTTCCAGTTTGTTAACCTCAATGCAATGAGAACTTTCTTATACAGTAGTCGACCTTATTCAACAGTCAGCAACGAGGATGTTTATGGCAAGGAGGTTGAGGGTTTGATGAACTGGTGTAAGAAAAACAGCCTAGTTTTAAACGTTGGAAAAACCAAAGAGATCATTGTCAATTTCAGAAAAGGCAGGCACAGCCACACTCCTCTCTGTATTAATGATTCACCTGAGGAGATGGTTGCCAGCATCTAATAGGGTGTGCAGTTAACAAGTAGGCTGGCTTGGTCACTCAACAGCATGACACTGGTGAAGTGAGCACAGCAGTGCCTGCTTTTTCTGCGTTGCATGAGAAAAGCACATCTTCCTTCCCCTGTCCTTACTACTTTGTACAAAGGGACAATCGAGAGCATCCTGTCATATGGCATTACTGTCTGGTTTGGAAGCATCACTGCTTCAGACAGAAAGGCAGTGCAGAGAGTGGTGAGGATGGCAGAAAAGATTATTGGCAGTTCCTTCCCTTCCGTCCAGGACATAGCATATAAGCATTGCTTGAGCAGGGTCCACAAGATTGTCTGGGACACTACACATCCTCTTTACAACCTGTTTTCCTTGTTACCTTCTGGGAGGAGGCTTCACGGTATCTGAAGCAGAACATCCAGATTTGGTCATAGTTTTATTCCATACGATATCAGCCTTGTGAACTTTCAAGCTTCCTCTTTTGGCTATGTATTCAAGATGGACCGTGATTAATATTTATATGTATTTATATGTAAGGGTGTAGGTATATACATATGTTGTATATAGCCTGTTAATATGCGTGTTATGTATGTGTACACTTTTGAGAGCAGGCAACAGAATTTCATTTTTAATGTGTCCTTGACTTACCACCACAACTGAACCCAAAATTTCTGTTGTCAAGTGAAACATTTGTTAAGTGAGTTTTGCTCCGTTGTAAAACCATTCTTGCCAAAGTTATTAAGTGCATCACTGCAATTGATAAGTTATTATCCAGGTTGTTAAATGAATCTGGCTCTCCATTGACTTTGTTTGACAGAAGGCCAGAAAAGGTGATCACATGACCTCTGGACACAGCAACGGTCATAAATATGAACCAGTTGCAGAGCATCTGAATTTTGATCACATGATCATGGGGATGCTGCAAAGCCATTGTAACTTTGAACAGTCACTAAATGAACTGTTGTAAGTCGCGGACTAGCTCTACTTCAACCTACATACACGTCAATCATAGCCACTCTGGTTGAAAAACAGCTCTATGAAATTGAGGCCTTTGAACTGTGGTGCTGGCATAAAAGATTGCATAAACCATGGACAGCCAGAAGAACTAACAGAAGGGTGCTGAATCCTATTAAACCAGAAACAACACTAGAATCCAAAATCACAAGATTACGTCTGACTTACTTTAGCCATGTCATGTGTGCAAATTCATTGGAGAAACCAATGATGCCAGGAATGGTTAATGGATCAAGAAAAAGGGGCTGCAAAGAACTTGCTGGCTTAATATGATCAGAGCTGATACAAAGATGAACATCCAACAATTGAGAAAAGCTGGACTTGACAGGATAGCATGGAGACCACTTGCCTATAAAGTTGCCAATGAATGAATGAATAAAATGTTTGAAATTCAGACAGGCCCATTTTGAATATCAAACAACTATTTTGAGTTTGAAAAGCTTCCAAACTGATCAAAGCAGTCTTTTTCCACTTGAAATAATTGTTTCATGCTTGAAATGGGGTAGTTCAAATTTGAGGTTTTTCCAGTTCTAAATGTTTTGCATAGATCTAGCTAGAACTTTTAAAAAAAACCAGGCAGGGTTTTTCCCCCTCCCCCCTTTCTAATAACTAACTAAAAGAGAAAGTTAGAGTTTTGCTTCATAACATAATTTGTAGAACAGCTTGATTTTTAAAAATGGAAAGTAGAAATCTGGGACTGATGGTTTATTCCAAAGAATAATTTCAATTTGTTGTCTTTCACAGATACCCTGCCTTCATATATCTGTGGTTTCCTTAAGCCATGGAAGGAAACAAGGCATTGTACAGATCACCAAAGAGAAACCTGTAGCTTGGTTTTCACAGATGACAGTTTTCAGCGGAATATATATGGTAATCATCCAGTCAAAGTCGCTGTTCCTGCACCCCATTAAACTCTTCTGTAGGTATTAATCCACTACTGGTCTCTCCTGTCTTGGGGTTTGAGCTGTCAAGTACCTTCTCTTCATCTGTCTTTTGAAAAGGCTTTTTTCTAAATGGATGTTCCTGTAACTGAATTATTCTTGACTGTAAATGGAGAGAAATTTTTTAAAAAGTGTCATTAACAGGTACAGGTTAATTCACATATGACAGGTCCCTTAATGACCTTACAAAGTTACTACAGAGCTACTTACAACTTGTTTTCAGTTAGGAGAGCCTTATCCTTGGCACGGTCATGTGATCACATTTTGGGGACTTGGCAACTGACTCACCTTTACTGCTGTTTGTACTGTCTCAGTCACATGACCATAAGCTGCAATTTATTTGATAGTTTCCGGCGTTTACTTTCAGTTTTTGGCACAAAAAGGACATTGGGGAAATGGATTTTCTTAACAACCACTTCTTCATCTAACAACTGCCTCAAAATTGTAAAAACAAAATGGGTCTGGTCATGTGTTGCCTTAACGTAGGACCACAACAACCTATGACTATAATTCTGGGCTCAATTATAATCATAGGTCAAGGACTAATTGTACTGTGGCCTCTTCCATCCTAGTTTTTTCCCTGTGTTTGTTTTGTCTCTCCCCTTCATCCCTGCCATTAAACTCTTCATTTTTTAGATGTGAAAGCTTACCTTTATAGTATGCTATGCCACCTGCTAGTGCCAATCCAGACCCAAGTCCAAGAATGTATCCCAACAACCAAGGAATCACTGCAGTTGTACCTGTGGGCCAAGATGGCGAGAGCAGAAATGTATTCCTAGTACTTGGGTACCTGGGAGATCAGGAAGAATAATCACATCTCCCTCACCTGGCCGCCAAAGGATAGACTGTTCCAATGGGGTCTCCAAAGCTTCATGTTCTATTCGACAAACATAGGTGAGTTTAACATTACTCATCTGTGGGAATAAGACACTGTTGATGGAAAACATCCCATTTGGCATGCGGTGCACCTCTGACTTTACATGTTCTTGTAGCACTCCGTTTTGCAACCACTGAAGGTGGATTTGAGAGGGATAAAATTTGTTCACATTGCACTCGGCTACCACAAATTTCTCCCCCGGTGGCCTTGTGATCAGCTGAAGGATGGGACGAGCTGCAAAGAGAGGAAGGAAACTTGAACTTCTGGATCCAATAGGCCAAGGTTTCTCAAGTTTGGCAACTTAAAGATGGATGGACTTCAGTTCCCAGAATTCCCCAGCCAGCCAGCTGCCAAGGTTGAGAAACACCACAGTAGACAATTCCTATCATCAGTCCCCAACTCCTTGAAATTAGTCTTGGACCTACCTGAGATTACAGGTAGTCCTCAACCTACAACCATATGAAGTTACAATAGCACTGAAAAATGTATCACATTTTAATTTACAGACCCCTAGCTGACAAAGCTCATGTGGCTTGGTTATCGTGACATCCTAAAGTCAGAACCAGCCAAACCATACTGTTGTGTAGCATGAACCAGCCATTAGGTTCACAGCTAGCTTTAGACTCAACTAGGATGTCACGATAACCAAGCCACACGAGCTTTGTCAGCTAGGGGTCTGTAACTGGGTGGGTCACATAAATATAGTCAATTAGGATTTTTTAAAAATAAAGATTTAAATAAGCAAGATGATGTTTTCTGCATTTGGTGAACCCAGCTCTGCCTTTCAGCCCAAATTTCAAGAAACAGGTTGAAATAAAGAGGCTGTGACTGGACAGCTGGAGAAAAGCTGCCAGCAATCCTTGCTTTCCAAGCAAAAGGTCAAACTCACCTTGCAACTGCAGCCGGAAATTTAGTACCTTTGGCCCTTTGTGCGTTTGGTGATGGATATGGCAAGAGAAGTTGGCATTGGCATCTGAAAATTCTGGTATGAGCTCCAAGACACTTTCTGCTCTGAACAATTGGCCGGTGCTGGGTTGAGCAGGAGGCTGTTCGGGGCCTTGCACAATCTTATCATTTCGGAACCACGTCATGGATATTTTGCCAGGATAAAAATCTGTTGCTGTACACGCAACCGTGCTTGGCTTGGTCAACTGCACTTTTGTGGAGCCAAGTTTAACAAGTGGGGGAGCTGGGAACAGAGAGGATAGAAGAAGGAAAACTCCAAAAACAAGAACAGAAAGATTGTTAACTTCCTACAGGAAATATTTCAAAGCTGTAATTTGTCATAAAGGAGGTGGCACTGATGGAAAGAATGACTAAACATCTGCACCTGTCATTCCCAATTTTCTTACTCTGGGTCAATAAACATTGTAACACACATTCAAGTTGTAGAAAGATGCATTTAACTTCATACCAGACGTAGGTTGTATCCAGTTCTGTTCTCTTAGGAATTTACTGAAACACACACACATTTAAAAAATACACATATACATACATAAAATGTATGTATGCATTNCTACAGCAAGAAGGATTTTGGCTGAC